GTTTTAAGTTCACAAAAAATGTTTTTAAGAAACCAGAGTTGTTTTTTTTTTGAGGTAAAAACACTAACTTTTTAATTAATACTGTCAAATGGTCATCCTGCCTAAAGCAATCTACAGATTCACTGCAATCTCTATCAAAATACCAATGACATTCTTCAACAAACAAGAATAAATAGTTCTAAAATTCATATGGAACCACAAAAGACCCCAAATAGCCAAAGCAATCCTGAGAAGGGAGAAACAAGCAGAAGGGATTACTTCCCCCAACGTCAAGCTCTACTACAAAGCCACAGTAATCAAGACTATTTGGTACTGGCACAAGAACAGACCCATAGACCAATGGAACACAATAGGGAGCCCAGATAAATCCAAGCCAATTAATTTATGGTAAAGGAGCCATGGACATACAATGGGGAAATGACAGCCTCTTAAACAGCTGGTGTTGGGAAAACTAGACAGCTACATGTAAGAGAATGAAACTGGATCACTGTCTAACCCTATACACAAAGGTAAACTTGAAATGGATCAAAGACCTGAATATAAGACATGAAACCATAAAACTCTTAGAAGACAACATAGGCAAAAATCTCTTGAATATAAACATGAGCAACTTTTTCCTGAACGCATATCCTGGGACTACATCAAATTAAAAAGCTTCTGTATAGCAAAGGACACCATCAGCAGAACAAAAAGGCATCCTACAGTATGGGAGAATATATTCGAAAAATGACATGTCTGACAAGGGGTTAACATCCAAAATATATAAAGAACTCACACACCTCAACACCCAAAAAGCAAATAACCTGATCAAAAATGAGCAGAGAATCTGAACAGACACCTCTCCAAGCAAGAGATTCAGATAGCCAAAATAGGCATATGAAAAGATGCTCCATATCACTAATTATCAGGGAAATACAAATTAAAACCACAATGAGATATCACCTCACACCAGTTAGGATGGCCAACACCAAAAAGACAAGGAACAACAAATGTTGGCGAGGATGCGGAGAAAGGGGAACCCTCCTACACTGCTGGTGGGAATGTAAATTAGTTCAACCATTATTGAAAGCAATATGGAGGTTCCTCAAAAAAACTAAAAATAGAAATACCATTTGACTCAGAAATTCTACTCCAAAGAATTTACCCAGAGAAAGCAAGATCTCAGATTCAAAAAGACATATGTACCACTATGTTTATCATAGCACTATTTACAATAACCAAGACCTGGAAGCAACCTAAGTGTCCATCAGTAGATGAATGGATAAAGAAGATGTGGTACATATACACAATGGAATACTATTCAGCCATAAGAAAGAAACAAATCCTACCATTTGCAACATCATGGATGGAGCTAGAGGGTATTATGCTCAGTGAAATAAGCCAGTCGGAGAAAGACAAGTGCCAAATGATTTCCCTCATTTGTGGAGTATAACAACAAAGCAAAACTGAAGGAACAAAACCACAGCAGACTCACAGATTCCAAGAAGGGACTAGTGGTTACCAAAAGGAAGGGGTGGGGGAGTGTGGGTGGGAAGGAGGGAGATGGAAGGGTATTATGATTGGCACACATGGTTTCGGTGGTGGTGGTGGGGTCCTGGGGAAGACAGTGCAGTGCAGAGAAAACAAGTAGTGACTCTATAGCATCTTATACACTGATGGACAGTGACTGCAATGGGGTATGGGGGGGGGCTCGATAATATGGGTGAATGTAGTAACCATGATGTTTTTCATTTGAAACCTTCATAAGAGCGTATATCAATGATACCTTAATAAAAAAAACTATCCTAAGGGTGAAAAAACAAAACAAAACACTAGACTTTTAAAATATTTTTCCATTTTACTCCCCTAATGGCACCAGCTCTGTAGTTTTACTGCCCGCCAGAATATTGTGTTCAGCTTCCACTGGAGGTATTTTCTTACACTTCAACACAGGCTCTTTTTTCTATTGTATTTGCCAGCATGACATGTACATGAAAGTATATTTTATTACATACTGCATGTTTATACTGAATTATTACATATACAGTGTACATTAGATGTACACTAATGTAAATTACATTGATTTATTAATGAAAATTACACAATGAATGTGAAATCACACAATGAAAATTACATTAATTAATGTAAATTACTCAATGATTTTTATATTTGCTGGACTGTTTTAATGTAAATAATGTTTTGTCATTTTTTCTTTTTACCTTTTTAAAAATATATTTTGCTTTTAGTATTTTTCTATTGAAGTATTGTTGATATACAATCTTATATTGGTTTCAAGTATACAACAGAGTGGTTCAATAGTTACCCACATTATTAACTCCCCACCCCCACTAGTGTGGCTACTGTCTGTCAACATAGGAAGATGTTACAGAATCATTGGCTGTGTTCTCCCTGCCATACTACGGTCCCCATGACCAACTTGTATTATGATTGAGAATTTCTGTGCCCCTTTATTCCCCTCAGCCTCCCCACCTACCCACCCTTTTTTTCCTTTTTAATTAAAGTTTGACTAAAAGTATTCTTTTAGTCTTTGATTTTGGTCAGTGATCTTTATAGAAAACAAAAGAACTGGCCCTTAACCTGCTGACAGGGGAATAGTCTGAGTACAGTTACTGAGGGAGATTGTGAAACCTGCGTTTATACTAATATTTCCAACTACTCTTCACCACGTCTAGGTTCTTTTCTGGTCATCACTCTTTGCTTGTGTATAAGTAAACCCCTTGCATTTTTTTTACTCAGTTGACCTGCCACATGAACGTGAGGCTTGTTTTTAAGTGCGTTTAGGGCAGGTGCAGAGTAGCCCTTACAGCTGAAGCCACCCTTCCTCCAAGGTGTGGACTTTCTATGATCTCAGCTGAATGCTTGGGTTGTTCAGTGAAATATCCCCGCTCTGGCAGTTTGGACTCTATCATCTCTGGGACTATACAATTCCCAGAATCTCTGTTCAGCTCAGCAGCTGGTCTCTGCCAGGCCTTGCATCATCTCATCTTTTGTTTGTAGTTGCCCCAAATCTTAAGGAGTCTTTAATGCAGACTTCTGGAGCTCATTATCCACATAACAAACACTCTCTTCTCTAGCACTGCCCCCCACGAGTTACAGCCTCAGCAGAGCTGAACTCTGATCTCTGCCCTAGTCTGGGATGTGCTTCTAAAGGGCAGTTCAGTTGACCATGTCCTTCCCTTGCCCTGTGTGTGTCCTTTCCTGAGGTAGTACCGTCTTGTGCTCTCACTGTCTAACATCTGATTTATCTCAATAATTAATTTATATTTTTGCCAGTTGTCTAGTTTAAAAAAAAAATGCTGTGAGGATTTGTCTGGAACCAGTTACATTGCCATGAGCAGAAGAGAAAGTTGCATTTACATTTTTTTCCTTTCTTTTTTGTATTTTTTATTTTGGTATCATTAATTCACAATGACATGAGCAACATTATGGTTACTAGACTCTCCCCATCATCAAGTCCCCCCCTCAGACCCCATTACAGTCACTGTCCATCAGCCTAGTAAAATGCTATAGAATCACTACTTGTCTTCTCTGTGTTGTACAGCCCTCCCTGTGTGCTTTACATTTTTAATTTCTAAGAATTAAAAAATTTCTTGAATGTTTTATTCTTCTTTCTGCTTATTTCATTATCCAAGTTCTTTATTTCTTTTTTCATTACCATCTTCACATTAGAGCCTTCTTCTCAAGTATCTGGTGACCATTGGCCATCTGCTGATATTAAGTGGTAAGGCAGTGCCAGACTTTGAAATTCTGTACGTATAGGGAGAATCAGTCAACAGGTAACTTTATTGTACGATCACCTGGCAGGGCTGATATTAGGATCTTTAGGTAATTTCTCTTGGGCTTGGGGAAGCCCCCTTTCTCCTGGGAGTAGAGGTGAGATGTCTCAGTGTTCAGCAACTTAACTTTCAAACATTATTCTGGGTATTTCTGTGACAATGTTTTTGGAAGAGATTAACATTTAAATTGGTAGACTGACCAAATAGATGGCTCTCCTAAGGTGAGTTGGCCTCCTCCAATCAGTGGCAGGATTAAATAGAACAAAAAGGCTGGCCATAGCCTGAGTAGGAGGGCAGTGTTCTACCTGACTGCTTTCAACTCAAACTGAGACATTTTCTTGGTTTTGGTGTCGGCCAGCCTTTGACAGGCATTATAACATCACCTCTCCTCGTTCTCAGGCCTTTCGACCTAGACCGAAGCTAAACCTGTGGCTCTCTGGGTTTTCATCTTCCTGGCTTAACTAGCAGGTCTTAAGACTTGCCCGGCTTCGTAATGGCCTTAACTAATTCCTTATAATAAATCTCATATAATACAATACAATATATAAACATATATATTATATACATATTTGTTACATATATATATATATATATAATATACTAATGATTCTGTTTCTCTGGAGAAATCTAATGCAATGCCCTTTACCTATATATTGCTGGTTATTTCTGAGATTCACAGCAGAAAGAAAACTTTCTGTTTTCTTTTGACTTAATCTTCTCTGATTCTAACCTCTTCTCTAACTGTATTGTGGTTTGAATGTCAGGTGTCTCCAGACTCCTCAGAGATGAGTCAAGCATTTGTTTTCTTGTTGTCTTGGTAGTTTTTAGATGATTTCTGGGAGGGAAAGAGGGAACTACTTTCTTTATTCTTTGTTATTTAAACCAGAAGTTCAGATCCTGTTAAACTAAATGCCATTTCGTATGCTAATGAGCATACTAGGTGTCCTGCTTATATCCCTTCTCAGGTTTGTTGACTAGTGCTCCGTGGTAGAGGAAGACGTATTTGGAGCCCTTGGGGCAATTTGGGAAGAAAGAAATGAGAGAGCATGGAGATGAAAGGGAATGGCTTGCACCTGGGCCTAAAAGGAACAAAACAGCTGGTGAAAAATTTCCAGTGTCATCTGAGAAGAACTTTTATGAGCAGTAATAGGCACTGTCGTATTTTAACTTTGTATTTATATGGTAGTCTTGACTTATCTGACGTTTCTCTTTCCATCATTTCAGTTACCCACAGTCAGCTGACATCCGGAAGCAGATGACCCTCCTTGTGACATATCCTCAGAAGGTCAGTAGCAACGTAACTGTGTCACAATGCCCATGTCTTTCACCTCACTGCATCTCATCACGTAGGTGTTTTATCATCACAAGAAGAAGGGTGAGCACAGCACAGTAAGATATTTTGAAAGAGGGAGAAGGACCACATTCACATCATTTATTACAGTGTATTGTCATGATTGTTCTATTTTAGTGATTGTTGTTAATTTCTTACTGTGTCTATAAGTTAAACCTCATCATAGGCATGTACGTATAGGACAAAAATATGGAGAGAGTCTGGTACTGTCCGTGGTCTCAGGCATCACCTTGGGGTCTTAGAACATACCTCTGCCGTGAAGGGGGGACTGCTGTACTATGAAAATTCTTCCTGAGACATCTTGTCTCTTAGTCCTCAGTAAATTCTACTGCAATCATGAAAAATTTGATAAGCAAATTTTCCCTCTTTTTTTGGTTGGGGGGTGGTCGTGGCATGTGTTTTGAATTGAGTAAAAGGCTGAGTTTCACGCCTGAGTCTTGGTGCAGAACCGAAATTGTGCAGAAACAAACATCAAAGCAGAAGTGACAATGAACAAAACTCCCCCTAGTAGATACGTGTAAGAATTGCAGAAGTTCGGAGCTTTCAGAGACTGTGGAATAGCAGTTCTGGCCGAACATACCTAGATGTGAAGGGTGTGAGACACCTGAGTAGACATCTTGAAGGTACCTTTTATTCTAAATTGCAAATATGTTTTTTTTACCGTCATGCATACTGTAGGATAGATGCTTCTGGGGGAATATGAATATAAATAAAATATGGCCCTACATTTGAGGAACTCATATAAGTAACCCAAACCTGGTTTGGTATGTTCTTTATCTTCCTACTTCTGTTTAGCTAGTAAACGACTCACTGAAATGTGACCCTGCATGTTCTTCTTTATGCATGACTTTGGGGAATGTGTGTCTGTGTGTGTCTAAAGGCACCACGCTTGGCATAGAGACTTGTGTCTCTAAAAGTTTTTATACACCATGAAAGCATCTTAAAAAATAGCATGCTTAGGGTAGCCGAACAAGGCTTCTGTTATATGGTCAACCTCTCTCTTTTGCCTACCACCTCCATCTTTTAAACGTTAAAAATTATATTTTTGGAGATTGCTCAATAGAAAGGAAAACGTTCACAAATTACTGGAAAAAAAAGCAAGGCAAAAACTTGTACATTTATTATGCACTGTGTAAAAATTATATCTGAGCTGAAAAATAGGCAAAGGATTTGTTGGTGAGGCTTTAGACAACTTGTTAAAACATTTTGTGTATTGTAAATTTAAAGATTACTTAAAAATTTGATTTATATATTTTCTTAAACACAATGACTATAGTGGGCACATGCATAAGCTGTGGAGAGCTGACTGCCAGGAATTTAACATGCTTTCGTACTTGACCTCTACACCAGATGAGGTTTTTTCCATGTTTATTTCACTTTAATATATTTGTGCTTATGAAACATAAACTTGCATATTTTGCCCATATGTTAATTTAATAAGCTAGGGAAAATGTTCAAGGTAAATATTCATACAATTTTATTTTATTTATTTATTTATTTGCTTTTTTGTTATAAAGTTTTTTTCCAGCTATATTAAGGTAGAATTGACATGTAACATTGTGTGAGTTTAAGATGATGATCAATGATGATTTGATACATGTATATATTGCAAAATAAAGAAAATATTTGTAAAATTTTAAATACAAATGAGCCTTTTTCTCTGTAGGTTTACATAAATATTTTCCTCTCAATTAAAGACTCGAGCTGATAGCCTTTGCATCCTACAAAAATACAACCACTCCATTGGTGAAAAATGAAATTTGACCCATAGTGCATAATTACATCATTTAAACAGTGCTACACTTAATTCCAAGAATTAAACTTGAATTACTTAAGAACATATTATATGGGAAGTTAATGTTTGAACTTACCCAGTGTCTAAGTTAAGATTATTTTAGTCGAAAATAACAAACTCACTGAGGCAAGATTTAGTGATGAGGACAAATTTATTATCAAAATATAGGGCTGTCTCTCAAAATTCAAGGGCAGTGGCACATGAAGCCATCTTCAGGTCTTGAACCATGTGTTGGAAGAGCATTAGGACTCCAGACAGCTCATTCCTTAAAAGATCCTTTTGTTTGTCTGTGAACACATGGACTGTCTCTCATCGTTGCCTCTCTTTGTAATTCTGTTTCGTTTTTCTCTGTAGGCAGGCTTCTCCGGTTTCTCTGTGCACATGACCACCTTACTGGTAGTACAACCGTTTATACTCTTGGCTCAAGTCGGCATCTCAGACTAACGAATGCATTAAAGTTTCAAATCCAGATTCCTAGAAAAGATTTGATGGGCCCAGTATGAGACAGGTGTCCAATCCAGGGTCAACTACACATGGCTGATGACTAGGACCTCAGGTTACTAATATAGTTGCTAGGGGTCTGTGTCTGAGGAAGGGGTGAGTCTTAGAGAAAACACTCCGAAGGGACTGGCCTCTCTGGTGTGCCTTCCCTGTGTCTGCCAGCCGTGTCTCTCACAGCTCCTGCTCATGCTTCCTTTCATTTGTCATTTTCATTGTCTCCCTTCTTCATGCCTGCACCTTGAGGACACGGGACAACTCGCAGAGTGTCTCTACCACCTAGCAGACACAAGATTAGGCAATAACAAAAGTTAACATTTATGTACCACTAATTGTATACCAGGCATTAAAATTTTCTTTTTCTTTATAAACTTACTTATTTCTCACAGCACCCCTATGTAGGGAGCAATGCTAATGTTCTTTTTAAAAAAATGATTAGATGGAAGATGGTAATTTTTTAACTGAAGTATCATTGATATACAATATTATATTGGTTTCAAGTATACAATACAGTGGTTCAACAGTTACCCATGTTATCAAATCCTCACCCCCACTAGTGCAGTTGCTATCTGTCAACATAGGGGGATGTTTCAGAATGAGTGGATATATTTTCTGTGCTGTACTACCATCCCCATGACCAACTCATATTATGATTGAGAATTTCTGTGCCCTTTTATCCACCCCTCACACTCCCCACCCACTCACCATAACCCCTACCCTGTGCTAACCACCAGTTACTTCTCAGTGTTTATGAGTCTACTGCTATTTTGTTTATTTTGTTTTGTTTTGTTTATATTCCACAAATAAGTGAAATCATATGGTATTTGTCTTTTTCCACCTGCCTTATTTCACTTAGCATGATACCCTCTAGGTCTATCCATGTTGTTGCAAATGTCAGGATTTTCTTTTTTATAGCTGAATGATATTCCATTGTGTATCTGTACCACATCTTCTTTATCCATTCATCTACTGATGGACACCTAGGTTGCTTCCCTAGCTTGGCTATTGTAAATAATTTGGTGATAAACATAAGGGTGCATATATCTTTATCAATCAGAGATTTTGTTTTCTTTGGGTAAATTCCTAGAAGTAGAATTACTGGGTCTTATGGCATTTCTATTTTTAGTGTTTTGAGGAACCTCCATACCGCTTTCCACAGTCGCTGCACCAGTTGACCTTCCCACTGTAGGGGGCCCCCTTTTCCCCACATCCTCACCCTCACTTGTTATTTCTTGCTTTTTGGATGGTGACCATTCTGACTGGTGTGAGGCGGTATCTCACTGTGGTTTTGATTTGCGTTTCCCTGATGATTAGCGATGTGGAGGAAGTGGTATTGATAATGAGTCTTAGACAATCACATAATACTGACTATATGAACTTTTTGAATTACCAAATACCTCACAACAGTACCAGCTGTAGTATTTTTTCAGTCAAAGGCTTATACCATTTTTTTACCACTTGGTGTCAGAATTGTACTTTTTGAATATATTTTTGCATTTGGAAAATGTTTTCAGGTTTGTGTGTTTTAAGCTCTTTGCTTTCTGTTTTAAGAATTTCTTAGAACATAATTGTGGTTTTTGTAGAGTCACTGAGGAGAGAAAATGTTCCTTTTGTCTTCCTCTGATATTTTTAGACTATCACCATTTGCTGCCAGATTGGAAGGGAAGGGTACTGCCATGAGAGGGCCACAGAGAATTTATGAGAATCCCAGAAGGCTAAAACAATTTTTTCTAATCTTTGCAGGAGATGGGAGTCAGCCTTTCAGATTAATCCTCCGTACAGGAACTAGTGGAATACTTCTTTGTCTAAATGGAATCCAAGGGGATTTACCTCTCAAGGCTTATGACAGATTAACCTCTGCTGATGGGTCAGAGAAGAAGGATAAGTACTGGATGAAAGGACCAAGCCTTTCAAATGTGAAAATAGTACTAAATAATGATCAAAGCTAGTTCATTAATTAATTCAACAAAGACTTATTGACCTGCTGTAATATGCTGGGCCCTGCTCCGGGAAGATCCCTTGGTATCAGCTTGCTTCCCTTGCCAGCTAACCTGGGCATCTGTCTGTGCCAGCATCGCTCACACTCCCTGGGCCTGACAGACAAAGGGAGGCAGTGACCTGTCACGGAGGGACACAGTCCCGACCCATCTCAGGGCAAAGGGTCACCTTGGTGTCCAGGAAACTCAAGGTATTCTGTTTTTCTTTCTTAAAAATTGTGATAAAATATATATAAAATTTACATATTCTTAAGAATTTGCTTATTAGGATTAAGGTTTTTGCTGTGAAATTTAATGAAAGTGGAGTTCTAAGACTGATTATTCAGTCATATTGTGCTTTATGTAACTAAAGACAAATACGAAGAATTAGGAGTAGGTAAGGAAAAGAGACTGAAAAGAAGAGGGGGTTCCTATGAATACTTGAAAAGTGGAAGTATGTAAGCTCTATGTTATTTTTTCTTTTTAAAAATGCTACTTTATTGACTAGGAAATAAATCTCAAATTTCAAAATTCAAAAACATAACAAAATGCATAAATACATATATGAAAAGCCTCTAGTTCTTGTCACCCTGTTACCCTTGCCAGAAGTAATCAATAGAATTAGTGCTAAAAAAACTTTCCAGAGATATTTTATAACAAAATGCATGTATTCTGTATTCCCACATCCTTTTTTACATTGATGTGACCATCTCTACTCCTTGCTTTTTTTTTTTGAATTATTGTTGATATATGATTGTATATTGGTTTCAAGTATACAATGCAGAGGTTCAACAGTTGCCCATTTTATTAGCGCCTCACCCCCACTAGTGTGGTTACTGTCTGTCGACATAGGAAAATGTTACAGAATCATTGGCTATATTCTCCCTGCTGTACTACTATCCCTGGGACCAACTTATATTATAATTGGGAATTTTTGTGCCCCTTTATCCCTCTCACCCTTCTTAACCACTCACCCCAACCCCTCCCCCACCAGTCACTTCTCAGTGTCTAAGAATCTACTGCTGTTCTGTTCCTTCTGTTTTGTTTTGTTTTTATATTCCACAAATAAGTGAAATCATACAGTATTTGTCTTTCTCTGCCTGGCTTATTTCACTTAGCATAATACCCTCTAGGTCCATTCATGCTGTTACAAATGGCAGGGTTTCTTTTTAATGGCTGAATAATATTCCATTGTGTGTATGTACATGTACCACCTCTTCTTTATCCATTCATCCCTTGATGGACACTTTGGTTGCTTCCCTAACTTTGCTATTGTAAATAATGTGGCAATAATCATAAGTCCTTGATTTTTTTAATGGCTTAATTATAGTGGAGATCTTTCTATATCCATACATAAAATGTTTTCTTACTCTTAGATCTTAATAGTATTTCATGGATTATCAGGCAAAATTGTGAAAGACTGAAATGGTGGGGAAAAAAAAGAAAGGAAAGATGACTGGGTGTCTTTTTCAAGGAATACTAAGCGTTGCTCAGTGACTGTCCAGGTCACCTGATCGTATAGGGGTTGTATCTTTCCTTTCACTCCAGGATCCCTTATGAAAATTCCAGACAGTAGTTGATATTGTGTTCTGAGTACTCGTTCAATACCATATGACTATAGATATGCAAAGCAATTTTTAATTAACAACAGATGCATGTATGTAAATAATTAGGCAAGATCTAATGAGACTAGACATTTTTATGTATACAGAAATAATTTTTGGGATTATTATGATCACAGGGGGCAAGGGAGATTGTTAAAGAAAATCATTGAAATGGGCAAAAAAAATTACTGGGTTTATTTCCAGTGAATATTAGGTGTTGTCTAGTGTGCCTTTAAAAGTTATCTTTTTCTACAAGGTTTTTCACCTTTCATTTTCTCTAACTGAGCTATTTTATTACTTTGCAATTGTAGAAACAGTAATTCAAATGAGTTTTGTCTGGTGAAGGCCAGTTCTACATCCATTAGTAAATTCATTTCAGCATTTTTGATTGCTTATGTATCTGTCGGCTCTTTGACTTTTTCCTTTGAACTGGTTGTAGAATCTTAATCATTCTCTCATTAATTAATACGTTAAAATATTTGGCACATATTTATTGTCTACTTGTGCAAGAGTCCTGATTTTACCTTTGTCACGTGTGCTGGAACAGTGAATCACAAAAGGTTTCTTTTGTGTTAAGTAATAGTTTATTGTTATTAGGAAACCTCATTTGGGGATTCTGTGCTGTGTCCTAGTAGAAGTCCGCCCCCAAGGAGTGAATTTGGTGGGAGTCACCTGGAGAGGCTGGAGGAGGGAGGTGTCATCTGTGCCTCGGACAATGTGCACCAAGACCAGGGACCAGGCAGCTTCGGGAGCGAGATGTAACCCGCGGTGCTGGCTGGGAGGAGGGGCCGTCTGGCGCACCTGCTGGTTTGGGTTCGTGGGCGGGGTTTTCTCCCTGGGAGCTTCTTTGGGACCTTGGGTTCATCGGTGGCTGCCAGCACAAACGTCATTCTAGACAACCCTACATACATACATTTCAGATTAGGTGATGTAGAAAATGTGATTGAAATGCAAGAAAATGCGTAGTTAGAGATATTTACATTTTTCTGGGTTAAAGAAGGAGATTAGCACTTTCTAAGCAGGAATATCTCTTTACAGAGATATTTCAATGAAAGAAAAGGAGTATAGAAAATTTTGGGGGGTTTGGGAGAGATTCTTGAATGGATTAAAGTGAAAAAAACGATAAATTCCTGTACTGTTTGTGCTCATGGTCATTCTCTGGTCCTGAGCCACATGGAGTCTAAAGATCAGAGGAGGAAGAAGAGAGAATGTTACCCTCGTCCGCGCCTTCTGGCTGGGAATGTGAATCCAAAGGTACTAAGACCAAGGTGAGCTGAGCAGGGGCTTTCTCATGGCTGATTCCGCGTGTGAGGGGGAAGGCGGGCACTTTGGGGGCCCGCCCACGGCGCAGTAGCACGAGAGGCAGTCAGAATCTGAAAGGAGACCAGTATTATTTGTGGACATGATCCTTAGGAAAATACAGAGCTGATGAATTTGAATTTGTATTATTTTTGGAAAAAAAAGGAAGAAAAGAGAAAAAGAGAAGCTGAATCAGTATCCAAGTTTTGTCCCTGTTGTCACTCTAGCGGAGGGGGTACGAGGCACTTAGAAATCTCTCCAGAGTGGACAGGAAGGCGTGACCTGCCCCGGCGTAGACAGGAGGAGGCTGGGGGACTGGAGGGTCATAGCAGAAATGTGTGCTTTTGTGCTACCCAGATTCACCATTCTGGTAACTGTGTCCTGGTCTTTCCAGAGAAGCCGTCCTCTAGCTCGTTTCTAGTCCACAGAGCTGATTGGCTTGGATTCCCCCTAAGCAGGGCTGGCATGAGAGGTGGGAGCGCATGGGTTCTATCTGGCAGGTGACTTCGAGAAGCAGCGGAGAGGGAGTAGGAAGACTGGCATGTGGGATGAGGGAGGGCCAGCAAGGAGTGCGTCACCCAGCTGATGGCCACTGCGGGCACTGAGGGCTGAGCCCTGCTGAGCATCCTCCGAGGACCCATCGGACTGTCCCTGGGCTTCACTCCTCTGAAGGCGGGAAGGCTGGGGAATTATCTGCTGTCCTCATGTCTGCTTGGTTGTATGTTGCTATCAGAGACATTAACTCTCCCGCATTTCTGGCCTGTGCCTCTGTGTGGGCTGAGCAAACTCCTTAAGCTTTGGGGGACCTTTAGGCAGAAAAATCAAGAAACACAGGACACGTGCTTGAGGCGGGATGGGTTCAGCGTGCACAGACATTTCTATCGCAGCTAAAGCTGGAGTGGGCAGAGCAACAAGGGGAGGTGACATCAGGAGCTAGAGTGTCTTCTTCAGCCACTTAAGTGGGTTTCACCCTGTGTTCCGGAAGTGGGAATATGATTTAGCTGGAAAATCAGAATTGCGTCCCCTGAGTGATCAGCTTAAGAAGGTAGGCTTGCCCCCACCTTCAGTGGAACAGTCGCCTGTGGCTCAGAGAAAGTCCTCAGGCCGGAAAACAGTGACAGACATGGTGTCAAAAACTATCTGCTGCCATAGGGAAATTTAGCGGAGCCAAGGGGACATGAGGGATGTATCGATGGCCTCTGCTACAGGGTGGAGGAATGAACGAACCAGTCACCCCATTTGGCTCATCAGTCAGACCCAGGACTTTTGTCTGTCCACAGTGTAAGAGTCTTTCTTATTTGCTGGGCAAGGAGCAGCAGAGACGCAAGTGTGGAGATGCTGACTGCCACCTTGCTGCCACGTGGAATGAATCCCCGTGAGGGAAACCAGCACAGAGGAAAGAAGAGCTGAGAGATGGACTGAAAGCAGGTCATGCTGACATTTTCTGAGTGTTGAATCCAGCAAAGCTTAAGGCTCATTCACGTAACCAAGAATCCCCTTTCTCCACACTCCCCCTCCCCGACCTCCAGGTCAGTTTTCTGTTGCTTAGAGCAGAAACCAGTGCGACAGACAGACGCAGGATCTCATTCCAGGGGGCCAGGGCCTTGAAGAATGAATGAGAGGCCATGACTGTCTTTCTTAGTAGAAAGGGGCCATCTTGCAGACGGGCAGTCATGGGACCTCAACTCCTTTGTCAATCAGAGTCAAGAATCTTCTGAGTTGTAAAATCTATTTTTGTCTGCCTCTAAATTTCACTCCCTTCCCCTGTAGCTGTAGCATCAGGTCACTTGATTGTCACTTGTATTTTTAGTTTCTGGCCCCTGTTTTGGGAGCTTGGCTATGCATTTAAGAAAGATGTTTGTTACATTTGCCTATTGTTTCTATTTGTTTACTGTGGAAGAGTTTTCTGTTTCTTTTTTTCTGACACTACTCTCACTAATTCTTTCATTCCTCCACCCTGTAGCAGAGGCCATCGATACATCCCTCATGTCCCCTTGGCTCAGCTAAATTTCCCTATAGCAGCAGATAGTTTTTGACACCATGTCTGTCACTGTTTTCCGGCCTGGGGACTTTCTCTGAGCCACAGGCGACTGTTCCACTCAAGGCTGGGGCACGCCTACCTTCTTCCCTCTCTGGTGGGATGATCTTTGAAGTTTTTTGGGATGATATTTTGTCTGATATTAGTATAGCCACTCCTGCCTTCTCATGATTATTATTTACATGGTGTATCTTTTCCTTTCATTTCCTTTCAACCTGTACCTGTATTTAAAGTGCATCTTTTGTAGACAGCATATTTTTGGGTCTTGCTT